CAAAATAATGAAAGGTCTATCAACAATGAGTGTGGCACCAGAGCATTTAACTTCTATCTTCAATGTGTTGTGGTGGAACTGACCGGGAAAGTTCTTGCACAATAGCTTGTCACGTCAGATGCAGACGATTCTTGAGGAGGTTGCTCTGTCCATGCATCCTCAGCTCTGCCAGTTTGGGAACCCTTGTCACTGCAGTCGTTGATTTGCGTTGAATTTCACACCACAGAATGCACAAAATCACTTGTGCTACTCTTGTAGTATACCCATGATCATGCCTAGAGGTGGGCAAAGCCACATGCTGAGGGCGTGCAATGCTAGTTGTATTTCATGAGGCTCCCAGAGGTATTGTCAAGTGCGAAAATGGCCAACTGGCGTTTACTGACAAAGCACAAAACATCCAGGTGCGATGGGCTAGTCCGAGTGATGGCAGGTGGTGAAAGTGCTAAAAACAAGTTCTTCCACCAACTGGCGATGTTGGGACATGATGCAAGAAATGGTATGGATTCAAGACAGTGTTTAGTCATGATACGGAGACAAGAGCCAACCAGCACAAGCCAGAGTGCAGCCACCTGTTTGCTCTGTCAGTATGTTAACCATCACAAGCAGCCTTGGGAATTACCAAGGATTCCATGTTGCGCAGCCTTTATCATCGTGGGGGTGGTGCCCAACCCCACAAACTGTGGCTCACAAACAGAGCAAGCAAAACGACAGGCGCGCAGGCTCAAATCCTGATCTTTTACGTCAATTGAATTCCAGACCACTTCCGCCTCCCAATTTCATCCATTGTCGATCCAAACCAAAAGTTAAACATGAATGCAGTTAATATGGAACGAAGCACAGAGGCCACCACAATCACTTCCATTCCTGCCAGCTCCCATGACCCCTCAAGAAGCCCACGCCCCAAGTCCCCAAAAAGACTAAATGAATGAGATTTTCCCCACAACGGAGGAAGCACAAATCTGTATTGCTCTCAGCCACCAACCTCACTCGCCACCACTGAGCAGTTTCTCCAACGGCAGGCATCCACAAGTGGTTCGCTAAAATGAGCCAGACCGGCCCAGAGAGCCCGGCTTTGGCTTTGGATTCGGCATGCCAACGTCCTCCAAATCGACAGGCATGACCATACAGGGGCTCCCGACGACGGCGCAAAACCGACGGACCAGCTCCCAGGGTGGCCGCAAGTGCGATCTCGATTGTGGGCTGCAACCCTTGCGCCAGTTTGGGGCCCTTACATCGCCTTGAAGTCTCTTGCTATGTGGGACAAGACCTACAGATCTTGCGATTGTACGGGGGAGGCGCCTGGACCTTGAAATGCGATGCATTATTGTGGACTCAGAAACAAAAAAATATGAGCCAACTTGGCTGCTGTGGCCAGCAAGGGCCCTGCAAGTAGGTCGCACGCATCCGTGGCGATCAGCGGTGCATCAACCTGGATGGAGATCGCAGCTCAGATTCGCCGTCACGGTTTGGCCTGATCAAGGGCGCCATCCGAGATGGGCTCTGCCCTTACGGCGGCGACGGCAGACTTGCGAGGCGCTGCGCGGGCTGCGGCGTGTGACGCCCCCCTCCTAACGCCCGATACACAAACACGTACCTTCAAGTGTGCACAGGTATGTGAATATGGACGTGAAAACCATCGGACAAGCCTTCCATCCTGAGCCTCACCCGAGAAGGCGGCTGCAGGCCCGTGGTGCCTTGTGAAGATCGCCCCGATCGGCAATTGCTTTCTGGGCGATTCAGGCAAGACCATTGGGTGCAGATCCGTGCATGTGGTAGCTTACAGGAGTGGGGGGTGGGGATGGGGGGGCTTGTCGCCGCGATTGGCGACGCACCGGTGTGCAACGCACAAGGGAGGGTCGTGAGGGCCTGGCAGCCGGAGGAAAGCGTTGGGAGGGTGGCCCATTGCGCTCAGACTGGGAACCGCGGGCGCTGGTGGTTGCGCCATTTGCAGTCGCCGCATAGACAATGACTGTGACAAGTGCGAAGCCGAATTCGAAGCTATCACACAGTGCGCCACGGTGGACTGGAAATTTCTTGTCCAGCGAAAACTTTAAAGGAATGGTGATCTAAAAGTTGCAGTTCATGCATGCATATCCTGGCCCTCACACCTCCAACGTTTTCACATCACAACCATAACATAGCATCTCATTGTCTTCAGGGAGGCAGTGACCGTAAATGATCCCATCAATGGCGCATTGATAGTTGGTCTGATGAATCGTCGTCGACAATTAGGGACTCGTATGTTCTGGTCTCCTTGCTGCAATGCCTTGCGTTCGAATTGGACAATCAGTGGTACCGCTTTCTAGGACATGCTGGGGTGTTGATGGCTCCCTCCTTACAAGGGTATGTTTTTAAACTATTTCTTGATGCAGTACTACCTCTGTTCCGAAAGTCTTGCCCATTACCAAAGTCGCTCAAATGGAGGTCAAAATGTGCGAGTCAAAAAACTTGACCAGAATAACTTCGACACACCATATTGATAGCTATCTGTAGAGTTCTTCAGCGTGGAACGGCGCTGCCGTTCTTGAGATATGTTAAGAGAAGCGCTGGCGCCACTTTTCCATGTGTCGGGACCTAGAGCGGGGCATGGCGAGCTCGTCTTGCCCTTCCACGAAGTCAGACTTGTTATTTACGTTTATGTTTATGTTCTTACGTTTACGTTTTTACGCCTAAAAACGTAAATTTGCAAAGGAGGCTATTTTTATGGTTATTTTCACGTTTTTGCGGCTCGCTGTGACACCCAGGTTACACGATGGAAGTTGCGTATAGTGATCAGTGCTCCGCCACCCCGGAGCGCCCGCAACACAGCGTCCACTTCCCACTCGCCAAGGGCTCCGATGGAGCGGAACAAAATTCGTTTCCTGCCCTGTCCAGTGCATCTGGATGCCATTCCCCGGAGTCCCCAAGGCTGTATGTACTGTCCTTATGTGCACAGGGCTGCTTTTACGTTATATTCGCGTATCTTTACGCCTTTTTACGCGTGAAAACGTAAAAACAACTTTTAAGCGTAAAAGCATAAATAAGATTTGTGTTTACGGCCTAAATAACAAGACTGCACGCAGGTGGATCGAGCTGAGCTACCCCTAGGAAAAATGTATGACTTGGTGGTTGTGTATTCACAAAAGAAGCGGCTACATTCCCACAAGAATCCGCAACGCAAAAACTTGTTTTTATGCCGCAGGGATTAGGGTGTTGACAAGTACTGTGTAAATTTGGAGGTCAAAGGACACGAGACGCCTTGTTCTGTGCAAGAGCGTCAACCTTGCAGATGCAGGTATGGTCAATGCATGGTGATGACAACCAAAAAAATTGCGCAAATGGATACCAACATGGCCAATAATTGAAATCAAGGAGTGCTGAAGCGTGATTTAACATAGTGGAAAAGATGGTCCACAAAGAGTATGAAAGCGATGATGCCAAAACTCTTGAATAGGCGGAGTACTGCTCATTTGTTGTCTATAACAAATATCTTAAGGAATATGTTAGAAGTAAGTTGGGACACAATGGGATAAGGTGAGCACAATGTGCGAGAAATTGGGCCCTGACGCAAGCGGACAAGGGCGCTTTTGATAAGGTAGTGTATGTCTTGCTATATAGTGGTCGCTAGTGCAAACAAGATCCACATCAACCCAAAATCGACTAAAAATCCGAATCTGGCGACAGATTGGCTAATTGAGTTGATCTTGCAAAGTTGTATCAAGATCGGATGATGGACACGACTTTGGAATGGACGTAGTATTTCTCCGTATCTACAACACTCTGCCAATTATCGAGGCCTCCGTCCCACTGAGGTGGGATGCCACATCGATAATATCGCTGCGCAGGGACATGTTGCACTGTTGTGTGCCAGCCAAATGATGGGGAAATCTCGAGGTAACCCAGAAAAGACCCATTTCAGCCTAAGGAGCTGCAATACTAATGTTGCAGTCGTTTTGCTCAGATTGTGCTCTCTTGGGTTGGGTTGGTGCTCCCTTGGGTGGCTACAAACACTACCACAAAAGTTTCCACTGAGCGATGAGCTCATAACTATCTGATTCGATGCCCCAATCGGTTCCCCCCACCCACTTCCCTCCCCCCCTTCCCCTTCCCCTCCCATTTGTAGCTTTTCGAGGTGCTTGTATTGCTTGCTCCTGTTCCTGGACAAGAAATTCTTAATCATCATTTTGGAGTTTGGCACAGGGTCTCACGCACACTTGCTCAGGAGAGGTGTCCCTTTTGATACAAGTTTCTCGTGTACAACATCTTGTCATGCCACCCCACCCCGATCTGTTGGGTGTACTCTTAATCCGAACAGCTGAGACACGATTTTGTCCCAGGCCGGTGAATGGCACTATTATTGACGCTCATAAGTACAGTCAGATTTGTTACAAAAGAGTTAGACACAGGTTATGTAAAGGGCACCCATTCCCAAGCAAGTATATGCGATACCCCTTTTTTCCGTGCTGTGAAAATGTGACATGGAGTCTCCAATGCAAAATGACAGGCACACAACGCACATGAGCATTGAAAACTGACCTTGATGTTCGACGGGATCCATGGCTCTGCACCGTCCGGATCATGGATCCCGTCTAGAACGGACGCCGCCAGAAACAGGGACAAGATCTTTGTGCAAGTGCTGCAATAGTTAGGACCCCAGCTGGTCGGCCGGCCGCGGTCGTGGCTGTTTTCTCAACCGCATTGGTACGCTCGCCGGCCCGTTGTCGTAGCACAGCATCTCACTGTTGGGCGGAAGGGTACTGAATGGATTGTACTACCTCTTCCCCTTGCCAGGCGGTTCAGTACAGCAGTGGGACATTCCGTCAGAGGCACCCGGTTCGATCCCCTGGTCAGACATCCTCTCAGCCATCCGCACCAAGGCAGTCACCCGTCTCACGATCAGATCCACCGTGGCGCCATGTGGGCGGTGACAGGGATCCGCCAATCCTCCCCGCCTTGCGGCACGACTCAACATCCCCACCGACATCCCGAGCAAACAGACCACCCCAATCGAACACCGACGCATGGAAGGCTACCCCGACCAGCGAGCCGACCCCGCGGGCCCGCCGCAGCGTCGGCGGCTCGTTCTGGACCCCCGCAACGAGGCCAAGGCGCGGCAGGCCGCCCAGACGGCAAAGGTGGAAAAAGATTCGAATTTCTGTGGAGGGATTTTGTTTCGTGCCGCGGGCCGCGCGTGAGTTTTGAGCGGCCCGAGTCGGGCGGGTTGTGGACTCGGGGGCGGTGATCTTTGCCGCAGAGGGTTTTGGGGAAGTGGGTGTGTATGGCTGGCAGGCTGTGGGGACGTTGTGTTTGTTTATAACTGTGTGGATTCCGGGGCACGGTGTTGGGTCGATGGGCGCTCGAGGGGTTGGACTGCCCTCTGGCCCTTGGCCGGTTGGTTTTCGGCAGAGCGGCGGGACATCCCATCAGAGGTACCCGTTTCGATCCCCGGTCAGACATCCTCTGCCATCCGCACTGAAACGGGTGGCCGCGCCCTTTACGCGTGGGTTTAACGTGGACGACATCGCCACGGGACGGGCTGCCACTCAGGGCGGCTGTAGGGTTGGGCAGGGGGTTCGCTACTGATTGCGACGTGGATCCTGGGTTCGGATCAGCTAAACAGCGTGACGGTGTTGCCGTCGCGCGTGCGCTGCTATGACGGGTTGGCCGACGTCGTGGGCGCGACGCGAATGGGTTTCGTTGTTTGCTTGTGGCTGCCGTGGGTGCCCAATTTGTGGGCGTGTGCAGCAGCTGCGCCAGAAAATTGTCCCCAAGTTGTCGCGCACGGGGCAGCCTCGAACAGGGTGCGTCGCGGCGAGTGCCAATGCCCCTTGAGGGGCCCGGCGCTGCCCCACCGGACCGAGCGAATGGTTTGATGCAGAAGGTAGAAAGAAATGGAACAAGGGAAATGGAAACAGAAGGGAAGGGAAGGGGAAAGGAGAAAATGGAAGGAAGCGGGAGTTGAGGGTGTGTGGGCCGTTGTGTGCGCAGAGCAGCATCTTCGGCGAGGCAAAGCCGCGGGAGGAGGTGCTGGCCAAGCGGACGGGCGTGGCGGAGTCCGAGATACTGCGCCAGGAGGCGGAGCACGAGAGGCTGCACGTGAGTCCCCGAGCCGGAATGCCGTTGGCCTGCAATTCCCTTAGCCTGGAATTCCGTTGACCGCAGTTAGTTGACTAGGATTTCCGTTGACCGCGGTGAGTCGCGACTCGCCAGCCGTTGATCACGGGCTGGACGAATCAGCGCTCTGGCGTCTGTCAGGCGGCGGCGGCCGCAACGGCGTCCAACCAGCGCTCGCCCGTTCGCCCGTGGTCATAATTTGGCTCCCTTCGGTTTGCGCAAAGCACGGTCCGCGGCGGGATTCAAAGTTTTGGAATACCGGAACTTGAGCACGGAACGTCTGACGAATTCCCGCCATTTTCACCGCCCCACGCGACGGGCGTCCACGGCGTGGGGCGCTGCCCGTAGTGGGGAGCGCGTGGTTGCGCGTGCGGTTTTCTCGTTTGGACACAAGAGTGTGTTGGGCACAATTTGCAACAGAATGAATTCATGATTGCATCCTTGGGGGAGAAGGAAAGACCTGACACAAGGCTTGCTTCTCCCAGCTTGCCATGACAACTGGATGACTTGCGCGTCGCAAGAGCTCCGGTTCAGTATGTGTCCACCACGGTAGCTCTTACCCCCACCCCCAAACCCCCTTCATTGTGAAGAAGTGCTGGACACAGCAAAAGAGCAGAACCTCACAGAACACCCTGCACCCCTAGGTGCATGCCATGCTCTGCCTCCTTGAGAGCATGCATGCACATATCAGCAGAGACTTAACTGAAATCTGTGAAGAGAATGCGTGGGAGCCTGCTGAATGGTGGACGCCTCCAAGCTTGTTGTTAACATTGCCAAGGATTTGAGCACTGCCTTTTCGCCTGCAAAGGGAAGATGGACAAAAAATTCCACCTGAGTTGTGGTGCTTGCGGTTGGTTTCTGTTCCCCGCTGTCCAGAATATCCAGGAAATATCCTGAAGAGAGAAAGAAAAGAACTCAATTCCAACCACAGGAATGAGCAAAATAGCCCCTCATATGATGGCACCTGCTGCAATCTCACAAGCAAAGAGCTCAAGACTACTTGGACAAATGAATACAGCCAAGTGCTGGGTAAGCATTGCAAACAAATGCACCAGTGCCCCATTTGCAGTTGGATAACTGGGTGGAGTACAATGGCAAGATCAGTAATATTAGCTTCCAGAAGCTTTAAGTACTACTGTCCACTTCAGGAGAACCTTCCATTTTACAAAGTTGCTTCCAGAGTGTGGCTAAACATGCCACTCTCTTATCCTTGCTGCTATCATCGACCCCGATCCCATTGCTGTCCACAACCTGTAATTTGAGTACTACTGCAGCATCTTCCAACGTGTGGAAAACGCCCACTCCAAGGTCCTCTCATGTCAGTGCACCTGTATCAGGGTAGCCAATTGACAGGCCCCCCAATATTTTCACATTATTTACGTCGCTTTGGTGATGATAGACAACACTGGATGCTGGAGGCGACCGATGGCAAGGAGCTTTGACACCCCCTTTGTGCAGTCTGTGTGTATACCCTGAAATGTAACTGTGCAGATTGTTTTGCATATAAACAGACGCAATGCGTTTTTAAAAGCATACTCTTAAAATAGCAATCGTCGACAAGCATTATTTTCTTCACAAACCTGCGACGGCCAGCCCCAAAGCTCGCTGACCAGAAGGAGTTGTGTGGGCTGAGCCAGTCCTTTGATTGGTATTTGTGTCGCTGTTTCATTGCTGTCAGTAGCTTGCTTTGATCACCATAATACCAAACTTAGTCTGGTCTTTCCATGCAGATTCGGCTGTCCCCTCAACAGCTCTCTGACCAGAGGGAGGCAGAGGAAGCCGTGGCAGAGGTGAGAAGGAGCTTGGAGCAGGCGACAGACGAGGCAGCAATCAGCGCGCTGAAGGTTGAGTTGGGTCGGCGCCAGCAGGAGCTGGACAGCTTGCTCCTATCCTTTGAGGTAGGAACTAACCAGGTCCAGGTAGCTCCCTGCCCTTCGAGGCAGCCAGCCTGCCTTTCTGCCTTTCCAATTCGCCAGAAAGGCAGCTTCTTATGGTATCTTGCAATGGAGAACGTGCTCTGATCCCGTGATGGGAAAGCTGCCTGTCTGGCAAAGGGGAAGAGCAAAACCAGTGTTGGGTCTTGTACCTGTGTTGCGCGAAAGGGCGTTTAAACTAGTCGAACAAAGTTGAGCTGGAACTGAATTTTGGGAGGTCGGTCGCGGGTGGATGGGGACCAGCCACTGGCCATCTGTCCCGGCCATCGAAGGTTGGCTTTTCAGATGAAGGGCAACTGAGCATCTATCGCAGAAACCCACTGTGCCAGGTCGGCTCCGCCTTGTTGTTCTCCCTTGTTGTTCCTTCAGGTTTGGAATAGCACCCCAAATTCAGGCATTACCATAAATTCAAACGTCAATAACAGTGACGAAGGAAAGAAATGCCTAAAAGAAAGAAATTGATGTGCTGCAGAAGCAGGCTGTCGAGAGAGCCCACGCCGGGGGTGGCATCCGGCCGTCTGAGCGGCAGCGACTGGGCACCCTGCGGGATTTCGACGAGGGCGAAGATGGCGGCAGGCACGCAGGATACGGTGGGTCGCCCCACGGTGGGCAGCCCAGAGGGTTCGCGGACTACGGAGAGCCCAGAGACAGCTATGGGCAAAGGTGAATCTCCATTTCCATTGTGTTTGACATGGCCTGATGTAATGTACGGGGTAGAACTAATACTGGTACAAAACTAAAAAACAATAGAGAGAATACCAGGTTTGGTTTGATTTGACTTTATTTGGTGCGACTGGATTGGTGTGGCTTGATTTGGTTCGATCTGATCCGATTTGACTTGAAAATTTTTCATTTCTTTGAGTGACGGAACGGAATTTGCTTCTGATGATGACCGATGAGGTCTGCTTTTGTAAGTGTGGGTTAGTGTAGCCATGCGACAGGTACTTGTCTATGGACATCTGTGGGCAGATGTGTACACCTTTGGGCCATTTGCGTGGGTGGCGGCCAGGCTGCCTGCATGGCGCAGGTCGTCACAGGTTGTGTCAGCCAAATCATCGGGTAGCATATCCTGTGACATGACCACACCCTGGATATGTGCACCCAACCTTTCCAACTTTTCCCGATGCGTCCGTTGGGACTTCACCAAATTACATCTCTGCAACTGCAGAGATGTAAAATGTACCTGTAAATGTAAGAATGTAAATGAAGAAATGTAAGTGTAGAAATGTAAATGTAGAAATGTAAATGTAGAAATGTAAATGCAAATGTGTTAATGTAAATGTTTTCTGCTGTGCTTTTTGTACCAGTGCTTCTCAACCCCACAGGGGCGGCAGCGGGAGGTTCGATGAGTACGGCACCAGCCAGGGCAGCGGAAGGGGCATTTATGACGACTTCGGGGGCGGCGAATGTGGGTCCTGCACCAAATTGAATTTTATATTTAGTCACGTGACCTTTGAGTGGATAAACCAGCTTAATGGCAGTTGCGCCAACTCATAGAGAGTTGGCTCAAATGAATGTGAGGGAATAGATGCAATTGCGTCTGACGTGCATGAGGGCTTGTGGCGGCCAATGCTGTGCGTGAAAGATCACGTAAACTGAATGGAGGTGTGTACCATCGGGCGGCTGGTCTGCTTTCCATGGAACTGAATGAAATTGCATGCTGCCGGGCGGAGCTGAGGGCAATGGAATGGAGTCAGCGGTGGCAGACCTGTGGGATGGCTTTGGGGACTTCTTCCAAGCGGTGTCGACTGGGCAAGATGCGCTGTTGCGGCGCCGCCTCCGCGGCAACATTTTCGCAAGTTTTAAACATGGGTCATCGTGCCTGCACAGAATAACTGAATTTGTAAAAGAATGTGCAATAGAATGTGAACGTAATAGAATGTTAACGAAGTCTCTAATAATGATAATGGCATGCCGATTCTTGACTGTTGGCGTCTTCTTTTGTGCAGATCACGGTTTCAGAGGCCCCTACGATGTCCGGGATCGATTCTGAAGGCGGGTCCAAAGGTCGATAAATAATAGGGAGGGTCGCAGGTTGAGTGGCTCGCGGAGGCATTTGTCCCTGGATTCGGATGCTGACACATCATGCGCTTGCCTGATGCATTGTGTGACGTAATGGGAGATTGTAGAATGTGTACTACAACGGGCAGGTCGTGCGCTTACGACGCCCAAGAGTGTGTGGACGGTGGGGGAAGAAGTTTCTGCAGCTTGCTTTTCCTTTTCCTTGATGTGTATTTTTCCCCATTTGGGGTTTTTCGAGCTTTTTTCCGCCTGGCGGCACAGGGCATGTGTGTACGCCCCAACACGGGGTACGATCAAGGGAGCGGGGCGGTCAAGCGGCGCCTGTTCCATTTTATGACGCTTCTGAATTGCAGGCCGTTCACATCTAGATTTCGAACCTGAATCCGATGCTGTACAATACTGCAAGACGTTGTGAGGGACTCAGGGCCTCCTTGGGCCACAGCACGGCACAGGGGCTGGCTGGCTTATCTGGGCGCCGCGCCAAAGCCCGTGAAGTTCGGATTCCGGAAGCAGGCGGGTAACACTGGAGGGCTCACTGGTCCGTTGACTTGTAAATCTTACGTTTGCTGTCATCTGCCCATCCCCAGGGAACACTGTTACCTCATCATCATCATCACTGGTACCTCACTACATCGGCCCTCGCAAGGAAGGCTGATCATTGCTTCAGAATGTTGGAGTGAAAGAAGATGTGCTCTTGGGCGTTGTTTTGCACCTTCCACGTTCATCGAGTAGTCTGCTCGCGACGGTGGTCAACAGGATTGACGTTGACGTGCTGAATCGAACACTGGCGTGAATCGCTTTGCGGATGCAACCAGCGCAACGCTAACATGGCCAGCAGAACCGCAGCAGATCAGAATTTCAGCTGACGGTGCATTCCCTGAGGGGCTTCATGGAAACGTTGCAGAGATGGCCACTGCCAGAGTGCAGGCCTGGACTGCGCTGACTTGGCGCCTTGGGGAAATTCGACAAGGTTGCCAAAATTAAGGTGCAAACCACCATAACGCAGTTTAAGAACTCCAGTGGTCTGCGGTTCCAAACTACCAACACTTCAGTCACTGGACCTAAACGCCTTGAGTTTTGGACTCCATTCTGCAGCGTTCCAGTGTTCCCATGGATACGGGTTGGTGAGACACTCCACTGCTGCAATCATCACCAACTCACCTGCCGTGCTGATGGGCAAATTCGCCGGTCTGCCATGTCTGCTAGAGGGAAATGCAATCTGCACGGGTCAGAAACTCGATACAGTGCCCCATGGATGAGTGGCATGCAAAAATGTACCATTGTTCTCCTCACAACAATGTCCCTTCACAATCTGACCATGTTTTTCCTGTCAAAAAAGCGACCTTCACTTGTGCCCCTTTGCGTCTACGCCTGTGTGTGGAGACAGTGCCCCACAGGCATGTGCCCACCACACAACAGCCCTTTGCTCGCCTACCAGGCTCACTCGGACAGATAATTTTTGACAATCATCTGCAGCCAACCTGGTTCCCGGAGCAATCGATGAATGTAAAGAATTCCAAAACTCGTGAGATGGATGCCAGCAAGGCTGCGCCACCATGCCACCAAACTACCACCGACAAACCGATCCTTCAGGCCAACAGGATTACTGCGATCACCTCTCCAGCGCTCCCAATTCTTTGCATTGATGGTGACATCTCAACTTCCCCCAACACATTGAGATCGCATTGGAGACGGCCCCACAGCACAAAGACAAGCAGGACTTTTTGCCCCACCCCTTCAGTGCGACCCTCAGCCACTCCATGCTCTGTGAATCCGCCCCAGCTGCTGGACTGGATCGATACGCATGCTAAGCCAATGCATGCATACATCGCCACCTACAACAGCACGGACCCATCAATCCATCCCCTCCCCGTCGTCTCCACCAAACACGTCCGTGTACTTGTTGATGAAAAAAGCAGCGGCAGCAAACCCAACAGCCCAGAATATTGCGAGCCCCACCACGGACTCGTTGTAGACGGCCAGGGCCGTGCCCGCCACGGCAATAATCGCCACAGCGATGATCGCCACCACCAGCGTCACCGGGTTAATCTTCTCCGCCTCCTTCACCTTGGGCCCGGTCCTGTCCCCCGGCGCCGACCCCTCCACATACATCTTGGGCTCCAGGTAGAACACGTTGTTGTTCTCCAGCGACGTGCCCACGCCCCCCTTGCTCTCCATGGACACCACGCCCCCCTGGCTGCCCTTCAGAAAGCTCACGTAGATCTGGTCGCCCAGCGTCCTGACGGGATAAATCTCCAGAGGCCTGCACGTGTCTGTCGGTATGATCCTCCCCAGCACCGGGTTGTTGGGGTACCAGTCTAAAACCTCCCCATCCTTGATCGAGAAAATGCTGCCAGTCGTGGGGCAAACGATGCCATAATCCTCCGTGAACCTGGCCGAAAGGAACCCCTCGCTGTAGGCGCCCTCGGCGGGCGACCTGGCCTCGCACGCCCTCAGCTCGTTCCTGTACCAGAACAGCAGGATGCGCTTGCCCGCCACCACCACCTCCTTCCTGCTGCCCTTGGGCATCTCGGCCAAGCTCGCCACGGCCACGAAGCTGTCGTCCAAATCATCGGGCGAGCCTTCCTTCGCCCCCGAGCCGGACTCAACGGCGACGGGGTTGGATCCCTCATCTTCGGCGCGAACCGCCGGCAAAACTCCGCGCCGCGAATTCTTCCGCCGGATGCAAAAGTTTGCGCGGGGGATCGTCGAGGACGACTGGCATGCGCGCCAGGCGATGGAGCGAAGCGCCAAGGGCCGCAGGCCGCCGCGAGGTGCGGGAAGGGCCAATCCGTTGCAGGCTCTCAGGGATTGATCCATTGGGGTGGAATCTTTGGAAAATCTTGCTTGTGTGTGGCGGCTGGGACAGGCGGGGTGGGGAGTGGGGGGTGGGCCGGTTTGGCGCGTTTGGGTATCGGAAGGGCCAGAGGGTGGGGCGAGAGGGGTGGG